GAGGCCTGCTCATTCCCGCCATTCACCCAGGAGCCCAGCAGGCATCGGACTGCGAATATGGTCGCGAAAACGGTTACATTTACCCAATGGGAGACAAAGAGCACCCCATTTTGCAAGTGGATATGTAGAGCCAGTCGCCAAACATGCGATCGAGCCTACAAAGATGATTTTGTGCTGGACCTCACAAACACCAACTCCGGTGTTTTCAGCACATTGCTGAGAATTCCGACTCAGGACTGGCTGAAGATGGTGGCTGAGAAGAATACCAGAATATTAGAGCTGTTTAAGCTGAGTAAAACAACAACTCAGTTGGTGTTAGTTGGAAAAAACCAGCCACGCTCTACATAGCCCCCGCCCCTCATCCGGTCCCCCTTACCCCGCCTCCTCCTCACCCTATCCTTTTAAAAACTGCAACCGCTCTCTCCTTCACATCGTGTTAAATCAAGCATGCCTCACCACAGCTTTGGAACCCTCAGCGGTCTATCTCCATCATCCCTCCGACCATCAGCTGCTTCTACACCGCCGCCCAGCCCTCCAATGGACCTGGCCACACCACCGCCCAGCCCTCCATTGGACCTGGCTACTCCACCAGCGAGTCCGTTGATGGAGAGCCCGCATCAGGCCTCAGCATCGCCGGCCGCTATGTCTCCACCTCAGCCCTCCTCACCTCAAGGATGGAACTCGCCAAGCCACCCGCAACTCGGTTGGGAATCACCCGACCAGACCCCCTCAACCACCGCAGTCTCCGGTGCATCGCTGTGGGCCTTGGGCGACCCTGTGTGCCGGGCTCTTTTCCGAGAGCCTCAAGACAACGACCCCGCCCTCAGCGAATACCACGGAGATCATACGGAGAACGATGAGGCCGGGGCTCTACTCCCTACTGCTGTGTTTGAAATTATAAAATTAACTGTCAAGTACCTAGTTAACTCTTTGGTAAACAAACACAGGGAGGATGTCTGTCAAGGCTGCCAGATCTCACACCCTTCGCAAATTCGCCATTCCTGTATTTTCCCGCTGGAAAAATATTACTTTTTCAAGCACTATGATGAACTCTGTAGAAGATTATGGAATGGACATTTCACAAACACGTTGTTACAAATTTTGCGGTTAGAGGGTTTTTCACCGCCAGCGGCTCAAGTCAGAGGCGTGGCCCAAGCGTATCTCTTTGAACTCCGAGATGCCAGCGATTTAGAGAGTGCGCTGCAACAAATTGA